TATGCGTTTTTGCACTTCTCGTGCCGTAGTAAGATCGCAAGGAATCACAGTAGCTAACCCTGTGACTGGCCATCGAAGTTCGGGGAGTTAATTGCGCAACTATGTGGTATATCTGGTGTAGATGTCGACTTCAGTGACCCGACAAATGGAAAGTTGCTGGTCCGCAGAAAAGGCCACACTAGAAGAATTAAATTTAAAATCTTTCAGCTACACATGAGTAGGGAGCGTTCCTTTAAAACTAAAGCCTTCTGCTTTTACGTTCCCGAGTTGACAGTTTTCCCATCAAAAATTTCACGTGTCCGTACGTGAGTACCGAATGATTTTAAGGAGCTGAATTTAAAATCTTTTGGTCATACATGAGTAGGGAACATTGCCTTAAAGTTTCAGTTTTCTAGCTTTTTCGTTCCCAGGTTAGTGATTTTCGCGCCAAAATTTTCATGTGCCTGTACGTGGGCCCTGGGTGCTTTTAAACACTTAATTTTGGTCGTAAATGAGTAAGGAACATCCCCTCAAAGTTTCAGCTTTCGAGCTTTTCCCGTTCCCGAGTTAGTAATTTTCGCGCCGAAATTTCCAAGCGCTCATATGTGGGCTCGAGCGCTTTTAACCACCTGATTTTGCTCGTACATGAGTAGGGAACATTCTCTTAAAGTTTCGGCTTTCCAGCATTTTCCGTTTCAGAGCTAGCAATCTTCGCGCCAAAAATTTTCACATGTCCGTACATGAGCACCAGGCAGTCTTAAGGAGCTGAGTTTGAAAACTTTTGGTCGTGCATGAGTAGGGAATATTTCCCCAAAGTTTCAACTTTCCATCTTTTCTCATCTTCGAGTTATGGATTTTCCCGCCATAATTCTCACGTGCCTGTATCTAAGCCTCGGGTACTTCTGGGCAGCTGAATTTGAAATCTTTTTGTCGTAGACGGGTAGGGAACATTCCGCCAAGGTTTCAGCTTTCTAGCTTTTCTATTTCCCGAGTTAGCAATTTTCGCGCCAAAACTTTCACGTGCTCGTACCCGGGGCCCAGACGTGCTTGAGAGTTGATATCGCGGTCCCAGGGTGGCACTTGGCTGGGGAACACACTGACAAAATTTCAGCTTCAAAGCTTGCGTGGTTGACGAGTTGAAACACTTGGACAGACGA